TTGCTCCCTCCCAGCTCCCAACCAATCAGGAACACCGAATACCTGGTACAGGCGCACTGGGAGCTGAGAGGAAGCAAAAATGTGGACTGGCCGGGGTTCCCCGAGGACTGGGTTGGGAAATACTGACTTAGAGGACACACTGAACCCCCACTTCCTCAGATAGTATAAACCAATTGTTTTTGCCAAACAGTAATGCCCCCTAGTGGATACCGCCAGCCTCACCTGTTGCGCCCATGGTGGACTTTAGGACTTTGAAGGAGCAGCAGCGAGAACAGAAGCTGTTTCCACAGCTGCTGCAGTTCCTCTGGAGAAGGACAGAGAGAGAGTGAGACCATGGCGGAGAACCACAGGAAGATGGACGGACACCCAAGGGGGCCTGCAAAGAAATATGGCTGCCAGAGAAGGATGTGCAAGACTCACCCTCTTCTTCAGCACGGAGAAAACTGCGTTGCAACTGGAACAGTTACCTGGGCAGGAGAAAGACGGCCATCATTGTTAGGTTAGGACTGTGTTTCCTAACCCGGTCCTCGGGAACCTACAGATGGTCCACGTTTTTGCTCCCTCCCAGCTGCATACTGGAAGCAAAAATGTGGGCTGTCCAGCAGAGAGCTGGGATGGAGCAAAAACATGGACCATCTGTAGATCCAGGTTGGGAAACACTGCATCAGACGGCAGGGAGGCGACAGCGGTGACATCCCAGCCTTACGAGGCGCGTCCGGTTTGCGTGCTGAACGTTACCAAACCCCTGTCAGGAATCTGTCGAGCAACAGCGGGGTCAAATGCGGGCCAGTCTCCTCAAGGAAAGAGCAGAACTGCTCTGTTGCCAGCAGGTCAAGGTCACCACACGAATGCGATGCAGATTCTGGGCCTTGATTTACCGTCACCCTTGCAGGGTGGGCGTCTGGGGGGGCCCCCATTCCAATGGTTTTCCAAGACCACCCCCCCTCCCTTGCCAAAGCAAGCCACAGGTCTCTGAAATCCAGCACGGCGTTCCCCGGGATCCAGGTCTGTGACTCACAGAGCAAACTGGGTGGGGGATTCGGGAGAAAGTGGGTTTAGGAGGGGCTTCCACAGCGGGCCAACAGCACTCCGACCACAACCCTGCCCCTCCCCCCCCGTCGGTCCCCCCCCCCAAACCCCAGTGCTGATGGCCAACGCGGCACCAGCCCAAGCTACCTTCGGTGGGCCCGCCCTGCGCTCTGAACTCTAGCGAGAGGACAAATGCGACAATGAGAATGTCTCCCGCCGTGATTCTGGGTGGCTTCGGCAGTTACGATGAGGACAATAGACGCTAACTCTCAGGACGAGGGCCGATAAGCCAGACACACCATACAGAGAGGGCCGATGATGCCAATCCACCTCTGCAGCTAAAAGGTCATGTGTTAAAATGCGGACACTGGCATAAAACACGTACCGGCTCCCTCCCGGCCCAGCGGGTGCCCAAACTGCTCTCCAGCATGTTTTTTTGGTCTTACCACCTTTTTTTGAAACAATGAATCATCCCCGTGTCGCCCTGCTGACAGCCCCCCCCCCAGCCTCATTGGTCGGCTGCCTCAGACCCCATTGGGAGGGGCCGTGTGATTTTTTATTTTTTTGGTTCCAACCAGTGAGGAAAAGGTGAGATAATGGAGCGGGCAGCTGAGAGAGGACTTTATCACACTGACAGTCACACACACTTATTAACCCCGGGTGTGTGTACCTAGGATTGTGTGTGTGTGTGTGTGTGTGTGTGAGCATTGCTGGAGAGTTCGAGAATTCCATAAAAACACATTAAAAAGTACTTTGTGTTCTGGGGGTTTCTCCACCTAAACACACAATGTCACAACGAGACCTTCAGAGGGCCCTCTAATCAACTGAAAGCTGGCTGACATCTCAGAGAGGGCAAAGCTTAATGTGGACAGATAAGCCTGAGACACGGGGTCTGTCCATAAGGATAAGACGTGTCGTTTACAGATGGATAAAACGGGTACACAGCAACGGGGAAAAAAAAAAAAAAAAAAAAGAGTTAAATATTTGAAACAATGTGTGTAGAATGACTGACAATCGTGATGGTTCCAGAGTCAGCCCCCCCCCCCCCCCCCGGTGGTAGATAAACGTTGGTTTGTTCAAGGCTCAGGGGACAGTGGGAATTACAGCTTGGCAGCTATGAAATCACTGGCTGCAACACAGCAACTAGTGGGGAAAAGGTGCTTGAGTGAAAAGAAATGTGATTCTGGCAAGAAGACTGGAGAAAGGTTCGAACCCAACAGCTGGACGCCTCGTTTAGAGATCACAAACGAGCAATAGAGTAAATGAGGCTGGGGAGAGATTCCCCCTAAGCAGACACTCGGAAGCGAGCAGGATTTGGGACGTGAGGGCCGGACTATTCCAGTATTCCCCGCAAAGAGGGCATGCTCTGTCAGTCTCTGCTTAATGCTGAAGTGGTTTTTCATACTCTGGTGCTTTACTAACCCTGGCAGGGGAATCTGCTGGATCGGACGGAGGTGTAATGAGTGCACAACATCATCGCCGTCTCAAAGGGCCCCGAGTCCTGAAACAGGCAGATGATTCGCCGGGGCCGCGATCCAAGCAAAGCGCCGGACGGAAAGCTTTTATTGAAAATGACGTCTAAGTCCCTGGCCGTGTTTACGGTAAAATGCGCGGCGGACGCCGGGAAGCTGGCCCTCCAGGAAGGGCTCTAACAGCAATGTCCATGGAATGTGCAGGAAAAAGGTGCTATTTGGAAATCACAGCTTTGCAAAAGATCACGGTTTGTCACTAAACGTGTAAAGGGGAGTACAGACCACTCAGCAGAGGAACAAAAATCGCTGGACTCCAGGTGTTGTCCGGTCACGATCGGACAACAAACCGTAGAGCAGAAACACATGTTTTCAAGCGTGTTCTGAGCAAGAGCTCCAAGCGTGTTCTCAGTGCATTCTGAGCATGTTCTGAGAGTGTTCCAAGCGTGTTCTCAGTGCATTCTGAGCATGCTCTGAGTGTTCCAAGCGTGTTCTCAGTGCATTCTGAGCATGTTCTGAGTGTTCCAAGCGTGTTCTCAGTGCATTCTGAGCATGTTCTGAGTGTTCCAAGCATGTTCTCAGTGCATTCTGAGCATGTTCTGAGAGTGTTCCAAGCGTGTTCACAGTGCATTCTGAGTATGTTCTGAGTATGTTCCAAGTGTGTTTTCAGTGTGTTCTGAGCAATTCTCAGGCATATTGACCAAATGAATCCCTAGTACATTCCTGTCTGTGAAGTTCTCGGGGGGTGAGGGTGCTTCCTGTCTGTCACCGTAACTGGGAGACCCCTTCCTTGGCAGTGCCAGCTGCACCCCCCCGGAGACAGCCTCTCCTGTTCCTGCCACAAGGGGGTGCTGATCCTGTTCATCCTGCCTGTGGGTTCACTCTGGAGTGGCTTGGGGGTGGGGGTGCTGATAACAGACAAAGAGACACTTCCTCATTACTTTATAGCCTGGTAGGTAGACGTCCTTTCGAAGGATTTGCTGTTCAGAAAGACACTGCCCTACTCGCCCCCCCCGAGTGACTAATGACCCGGTAGCCGTAACCACTGACCCAGTGACAGTTTAACCACCTTCCCTTAGATAAACACAGGTGTTATCCGGGTGGCCAGCCTGCTCTTTGGGGGCCTCTCTCTGCGGTCAAATCGCTCTCCTGGGGCGGGCCCGACGTCTCGGCGGCTTAATCAGTCTGTGATATCGATCACATGAGGGCTCTGAGCCCCCGGGATTCCTGGATCAGGAGGGCGGTCCGTCACGCCCTCAGACCCCTCCTGACTCCCAAGGTCAATGCTGCGACTCGCTGGCGGAGTCCATCTGTCCATCGGCATGCTTCCCCTCTACTATCCCTAGGAACTAGTTCATTTCATTATGCCCTGAAAAAAAGAGAGCCCCCTACTGGCACAGCCGGTGGAACTACACCCTCCCCAGAAACCTGAAGATACTCCCTAAGCAATCACTGGGTGCTGAGCCATACAGAGTGAGAGACTGCGACCCAATCCCTTCCAGACTTCCAGGCAGGTGTCACTAAACTCCACACAGCCAAGAGTACAGGAGGGCGGGTCGCACTGGTTCCCAGTGAGCTGATCTGGCCCAGACCCTACTGACTTATCTGATGCCGGTGAGACGTGCTGGCTGGACCCCACTTGCTTTGCCTGTAATCTGCTGCTGTGATCTTTGCCTGCCTGTGAGAGTATGTTTCCATGGGAACCCCAAACCCCAGAACTGCGGTTTTCTTGAAGATGCGTCAGACTGCGCCACTGCTCTCTGCACCGAGCCATCGTGAGCACGCCATCCTAACCGCTCACCCAAAAGTGGGGTTTCTGCCACCATGATGGCGCCCCCTGCAGGCCTCTGTTGGTACTACCCCAAAACGCCACACCCTACTTAAAAAAATGCAGGGACGAAACAAACATCTCAACATCTGAGCCACACCCTGAGCCCCAGATGTCCCTGTCACCATCTGAAGTCGGCTACAGTGCCAGCCTTAGCGATGATGTCACCGGGGTGGGCCGTATCCCCGTCCCGTCACTCTACATGGAGTTTCTATTTATCACAAATAGAGAGATAGTGTTTCACCACAGCCAGAGCCACAACATCAAACATGGCGTGTGCAAAAAAACTCAGAAGTAATCAATCCGTGGGGGGGGGGTTCTTACTCTCTACTGGGAGAATCTGACAGCACGGTCCCCAACACCCAGAGGACGGCTGACACGTCTGACAGAAGACGTGCCAAACGCAAGGAAGGGAGAGGTGGAAATTGGCACAGGTGTTCCAGCAGTAAGGCTGGACCATATCAACACTACAACACTGACCTCTGCTGGCCACTGTGAGTCAGTGCAGTACCCGGCCAGAGACCAGCCCCTGTGTTGGTCTGCACGCGCGTTCCAGTTCATTTCGAATCAGTGAATGACACTTATATTTCTCTCCTTGTGCAAAGGACACCCTCCTATTTTCCTAAAGTCGCCCACCAGCGTCTATGGGTGTTGTGGCCTCATTACGGAGGATCGATGACATTCCACGGTGGTCTGTGTGACCAGCAGGGTGTGACCTGCTCGTCAGGGCGTCGTCTGAGGCCTGACCCAACCATGGCTACGGGCCATGCCGTTTCCCCGCATGACCTTGCCTTTCTTGGCTTTCCAATAAGGGAGCGGCTGGGGTTTCAGGTTTGGAAGAAACTCCGGAGGGTTTGATTTGGCGCCGATCAGGAACGGCCCGAGTCGTTGAAAAAGACTCCAGCAAGGGTCAGGACTATAGCAATTTGAGCCATCTCAAGATAGCGTGTTCCACTTAATAACAAATGACTGCGGATCTGAACACTGGCAGCACAAGGCATTAGTCTCTGTGGGATTCAGCCTGACAATGCCAACATGCCTGGGGGGTGGGGCATGGGGGCGGGGCCAGTGTCAGTGGGCGGGGCCAGAGACTAAGCACACCTACCAGCATTGTTGGCGCCGCTGTTGAGCTTGCGCAGCCTCTCTGTCAGCTTGGACACCTTGCTGCGGATGGGCTCATTCCGGCTGAGGAGGCCGTTGTCCGACGTGGAGTCGTATTCCGGAGCCCCTGCAGGCACGTCGTCGTCCTCCTGTCATGGGGTGCGGGGTGGGTCAGCGGATGGAAGGATGGCCCCAGCCCTTAACGGCAACCCCCCCCCCCAAGTCAAACAGAAATACAGTGCCCCCTAGAGGACACTTACCACCAATGCCACCGGTGGGGCCTCCTTGGACAGCAGAGTGGAACAAAGGCAGGCAGTTCATAAACAATGAATTACTGTACATCCTTAGTCAGCAATGCCCCACAATGTTACCAAGACAGCCTATCCAGACCACACAGCGGATAGGTTTAATTAACTCAGGATTCAGTAAACCACACAGGGAGGGGCTTAATGTGGTCGTCCATTATCGTCACAGGGAACTGCTATTATTCCGATAATCCAGCAAAACACCTCTTAAAACATCTTAAAAATTAACTGAAATGCACCAGTTAAACTGCATGTTTCTTGGGATTACAGATTTAATACTTAGACAAGCTTTAAATATCAATACCTACATACTTTATCAAAATTGACTTTTCACATCTGGCACGATTTAAATCGATGACATCTTTCTATGGAAGTGTTCCCTAATCCGGTCCTCGGGGACCCACAGTCAATCCACATTTTTGCTCCCTCCCAGCCAGACATTTTTGCTCCCTCCCAGCGAATCCAGGAGCTGGAAGGGAGCAAAAATGAGGACTGGGTTGGGGAACAATGCTATGGTATAAGAGCAGACTTAACCTTTTTCCATCACTAAAGCGAGAGGCCAGAGACGGGCGAATACAACAGCTACGTCTGCATCAGCGTGTCCCACAGCACGGCCTTCCTAATACCGCACCGTCTGCTTCCTCTCACGTGCAACTCCACACCCAATGTGAGCTACGTCTGCATCAGCGGGTCCCACAGCACGGCCTTCCTAATACCGCACCGTCTGCTTCCTCTCACGTGCAACTCCACACCCAATGTGTTATCGAGCATCAAACAGCAGCAACCAACATCCAACTTACCGCAAGGGAGGCCGGTGACTCCTTCGTGAGCAAGATGGTGAAGACAGAGAGGTTAAGGTAAGAGCAAAAATCTCTGGGCCTTAATCTACCCACGTGGCATGGAGACGCCAGCCCTGGAAGAGGGCCGGCCACACAGAGAACCCGTCCACACCCTGCTAAGCACCCCCAATGGCCCTCAAAATACGATTCTGCAGCTAAAACCAAACCGCAGACGGCTTGGGAATTTGCTTCTTTATTAAAATGAGAGATTGCTCTCCTCCTGGCAAATGTGGTTCCACAAACTGACAATTCGAGTCAGAAGGGGGTAAGGGGACTTTACCTCTATGGCGTCTTTGAAGTCGTCATCAGGCTCCGCCTCCTCAGCCTCCTCGACGCTTCCTGGGGAGAAGTCCTGAGGAGCGGAGAGAGATGGGAGCTCACCTCACATGCTGGGTCCCTCTATGCGCAATTCCACACACAGCCACCAGGGGTCTCCCTCTCACGCACCCCCACCCCAAAGAAGCAGATTCACAGGTGGGGTGCTTAAGGGGGGGGGGGGGGGCTAACCTCTTTCCAAGAGTCAGCTACCCCATAGGTTACTATGGTTACAGGGGAGTTTCCCTCTCCTCCCCCGCAGAAACTTGAACGGAACATTAGTTCCCAAAAAAACACTTTAAAAATGTATTACATGATTTTTTAATGCATTTTACCAGGCGTTTTAATGAGCTAATATTTCACAGTCCCCCAGCTTGAACCGCTCTGAGCTAATCGACTCTTCCTGCCAAGTGGCACTCGTGAGCCTGCAGGGGGCGCACCTGTGCCGCGAACTCGCCAAACCAAGGCGGTCATGTGACCGGCCGTGTCCGCCAGCGCCAGAGGAATGTTCCGGGCCCGATCGGAAGGTGGCGGTGGGGGGTTTCCGATCCCAGTGAAGAGATCTCCCGTTTCACACCATAAATCAGGGGGCAGAGGGAGCCAATTTAAACAGAAATGATTCATTGGGGGGGGGGCTGACGGATGCTGGAGGCTCCGGGGCCGAAGAAAAATGCCGCTGAAAGGTGAAAGAAAACACGAGGCAGGAGACGGCAGGCCGCCCCCAGGCCGCTCGCTCACTCCCCCTTCCTCTTGGCACATCCCATTGCACCAGCACCCCCTTCTGGGGTCCGCCGGCATTGCAATCCCTCCCCCACAGGACCGGAGCCTGAGCCACACTAACGCTTGGGGTGGAGGGGGGTTCCCTGCTTAGTTAGACGCGAAGTGACACGACTCAAAGCCCATTCGTAGATTCCCCCTAAATGGAGATCAGTAAGGATTCCAGGGGCCTTCATCCATTTTAAAACCATAACACCACCAGTAAGGATGCTAGCAGGGGGACATGCGCACGTAACACAGCCTCTTGGCATTAAGTTACAGACAGAGACATTTAGACAGTGAGGAATCAGCCCCACGGCGCCCCCTGCTGGTGCTGACGCTCACCTCCATGCTGTTGGGTGTCGGGGTGTGGTCCCCCAAGCCCGGCTGCTCCGGCTCGGGGCTCTCAGCCTCCTCGGCCGGCTTCAGGCAGCCCTGCTGCAGCAGGTCCCTCTTTTCCAGGATGACTGGGGGAGGGCAGGGGGTCAGATTTCATTAAATGATGACTGACAGTTACAGTTAGAATAGAATAACGATTCTGCCTTACTCTCCATGAGACACACAGACACATATAGAGATGAGAGCAAGCGTGGGGGTCCGCCAGTGTGCAGGACCCCTGGGGGGTTAAGGGCCTTAATCAGGGGCCCAACAGCGGCATCAATCTGCAGGCCCCGGGACTCAAACCAGCAACCTTCTGACGACAAGCACAGAATCCTACCCCGCTGAGCCATACAGCGCCCCCTGAGTCTGACATGATACTCTACTGGTTCCCGATAGCCAGATTCATCCCTCATAGTCATGAGAGCTGCCAGAACCCAGCAATGCCCCAGTGAGTCACTCAGGTGCACAAGCGTGACAAAATAATAGTCCATAATGATTTCCTTAACGCCACCTGCAATAGCACAATAAGTAATAAGAAATGCAGGTACAGCAGATTTTAGCACTAAAGCAGCATCCTCTGTGTCTTTGGGGAGTTACTCTGAAAGCGGGCAGGGAGGAGACAGATGCCTCTAACTGCTTCATCGCACCGGCTGACGTCACAAGCTGCCGCTCTGCTCAGACGGCCTCCAATTCCCAGTCAGAAAACTCCACAATTACTCTGCGCTGTCGGGACACATCAACAGGACAACTGCTGTGTGATCTATGTTAAAGGGAAAAAGGCAGAGTTACAGAAGACAGGTCTTCTGCTGGAGGGATATTTACGGCTCGGGAGAAACAAGGGGGGGGTGCGGGGGAACAGCCACAGTTGGAGCGGGGGCTGACCTCCACAGGATATGGCTCGCATCCCACTCGCCGCCCCCCGCACCCCGAATCGCCCCCCGGAGCCAAGAGCAGCGGGGATGCTGGGATTGCATCGATCTGCTGAGGCAGTACGCACAGGGAATGCAGCCATGAGTGCGTGGGAATGCGAGGACCCCGCAGGGCTGTCCACCGCGTGCCGGGTACCGGAGTCATTTTGTCAGGGGCCGGGGGGCCGCCTGCACAGTCAGTTCAAGAAGCAACCGGGACCTAAGGGCCACAGGGAGACCACTCTGCTGGTGCTATCAGCCACTGGCCCGGCCGCAGGGGGTCAGGCCGCAGGGGGTCAGGCCGCAGGGGGTCAGGCCGCAGGGGGTCAGGCCGCAGGGGGTCAGGCTGCGCCCGGCCGGGGTCCCTTTGACCCTCAGTAATGATCGCCGTGTTGTAGTTTTGCAAATGACTTCAGCCTCGACTTGTGAAGCGTTTCAGCAAACCTCCACGAAAGCCTGAGTAGGTGGTGGGGGCCTGGTTACCACGCCAACATGACTGAGAAGCAATGCTTTCATTAATCATTTCGAGACCCTACAGATACACAGACCGGCTAATAAATACATAAAAAAAAAAAACAGACTCGTAAATCAGACAGGAAAAAAAGAAAAACTCTATACATCCCCCTAGTGGCCAAATAGGCAAAGTGAATAGCTGAGTTTTATCATGTAGTGCTGGACACGTTCCTAGTATCAAGGAGACTGAAGCCACAACTGGGACAGAATTAACTCCACGGGCATTTTCAGGTAAAATCTGTGCTGCTAGCTGGCAAAGGGGCCCGATCAGTAAATTATTCACACCTGTAAACGCCAAGGCATTTTCCTTTCTGTCCAACCTGAGACTTTAATTAATTAACAGGGATTTGTTCTGCATGTCTAGGGAGACATTGATAAATTCCTTACACCCTCTGGGGGTCTCGCAGTTCAGCTGTACACACCAATGCAAACATCAGTTATATAAATACAATTATGGATGAAAAATTACCCTAAAATCCTCCATCCCATGAGCGCTAGCTCGGCATCCACGCCAACCACCCGCGCGCAGAATGCCTCCATCCGACAAACATCACTCACCTCGCCGAAAGTCCCTGTTCCACAGGAAGAGGGCGCTGTTGACGACGACCAGCGTCCAGCCCGTGGGGGCGGTGTAGAGCAGGCAGAGCAGGACCAGCAGGCTGCCGTAGAACCTGCAGGGGGAGCAGCGCAGAAACTCAGGTAACTATCTAGTCACTCAGCAATTACAAAATGACACTTTGATGTCCGCAGTGACGTTGTGTTTTCCACCAGTCAAATCACGCATTTGAGGTTCGGGCCCTCTGTTGGCCACAAATAGTCACTGCACAAAATATTAAACAAGAGAAGCAGCATGTTTTGCCTTCCAGCTAACTAGCTATGATATTCTGAGTCCACTATCTAGCTGTTTAATTTGTTTTTGAAACATCTGAAGTGGGGGCCCAGAAACAAGCTCAGAATATCATTAAATGTTTATCACTACTGAGGTGCTTTTGGCTGAAAATCAATCATCTAAATTTCCATAATTTTTTATTGTTTCCAAGCAATAGGACTTAATAAGACTTTAACTGGTTGTTCATGGGACTTGAACCAACAACCTTCAGGTTTTCGAGTCACATAAGGTAAGTGTTTGAAATCGATTCGGAATCGGCACCCGGGTGCCTGAAAGGCGGTTACCCCGGTAACAGAGCCGCCCCCCACGGCAGTCGCAGGGGCAGTACTCACATGGACGAAGCGATGTGACTCTCCCAGTACAGCACCTTGTACACGGACTCGGCCGACAGGCATGTCTGCGTCAGGATGTCGTCCAGCTGCTTCAGCCTGCGTCGGCGATGGGGGACGGCATCAGGATCTGACCTTTGACCTGTGCTGGGCACCACACCCCCTACCTGCCCCTTAATCTCCTTAATCTCGCCGTCACGTGTAAAAGGGCTTGCGTGAACAGGAACCACGGACAGCAGCATGCAAATCACGCCTGTGTACTACGACTCCGTTACAGGGCAGGATGGAGACTAATGTCTGAGAATTTCACCCTGGAATCAACAAAGTTTTTATCTTTTATCTTATCCTATCTGATCCAATCTTATCTTATCCTCTCCTAATCTCGATGTTAGCCATGACAATAGCAGCTATGTCTCCTCAGGAAGTTACAAATTCCTACATATATCATTTCAAGTTTTGATTCTAAATGGCTCTGTCTGTAACAGCTAACAGCCTCCCTCCAAGGTCTAACAGCAGTGGCTGGTCGGATTTGCCCTGCAGCCAGCTGCTAACGTGCCGGGTTTCCTGCAGGCACCGCGCTCCTCCTGGCTCCTCCTCACGATGGGAAACCACCTCCCTCTCACTTTGCCAGCCATTTGTTTTTAAGTTCTCTAAGCCGATGTGAGTGTCTGTGTGTCTGTGTCTGTGTCTGAGTGTCTGTGTGTGTGTGTCTGTGTCTGTGTGTGTCTGAGTGTCTGTGGTCCTGAATCTGCCTCAGCACCGGACAGCCTTGCTGGGTGTTCATGTTTCTCTCTCTTCCCCCTGTTCATATCTCTCTCACTCCCTCTCATTCCCCCATTCCTCTCTTCCCCATTTGTCTCTCTCTCGCTCCCTCTCTCCCTCTCTCCCCCGTTCCTCTGTTCCCTTCTCTCCCTGTTAATTTCTTTCTCTCTCTCACTCCGCCTGTTCCCCTATCTTTCTCTCGATCCCTCACTCTTCTCCCATTCTTCTCTTTCCTTCTCTCTTGGCACCCTGACCATAAGCTGTTGCCTCCAGCCCTTCCCTGCTGCTCTAACAATGCCTGGGGGTCCTCCTTCCCCGGTGGGCTGTCTCTCTCCAGGTTCACCGCACTCCTCAGACTCTACCTGACCCCCTCCCACCCCCCTGCCCCCCCTGCCCAGACACTCACAGCCCCTTGACCTCCAGCAGCGCCTCCTGCCGGCTCAGCCGCACGGTCTGCAGGTCGCGCCGCTGCACGGCATGATGCTGCTTCCGCCGCAGGGCCGTCTCGCTGGCCGAGCCCCGCCTGCACTCCCGGAAGTAGCCCAGAGCCGCGGGGGTGGAGATGCCCAGCAGGCAGAGGGAGAACCAGGCCACTGGGAAGGGAGACGGGGACACCTGGTCAGCCACACACTCAGCAGCTCTGAAGCAAAACCAGCAGACACTCTACCAGGCAGCAGACACTCTACCAGGCAGCAGACACTCTACCAGGCAGCAGACACTCTACCAGGCAGCAGATACTCTACCAGGCAGCAGACACTCTACCAGGCAGCAGA